TCACCACTTTAAAAAAATGTTTTAACTCCTGAATGGCATGATAGCTAGAACACAACTTTGTAGTTTCACTCAGAATTAAAACCTAGGCCCTGATTACAGCCTGTGAGGCCCTACCTGGTCTATAACCCAGACATATTGGGGGGGCGGTATGTGGGAGCAGATGTTTGCACACACGTGTGCAGGTAGGACCCAGAAGTCAATATTGGGTGGCTTTCTTAATCGTTCCACTTGAGCCCAGAGCTCAAAGGTTTGGCTAGTCTAGCTAGCCAGCTTGCTCCGGAGATTATCTGTCTCATCTCCTGAGCCCTGGGGTTACAGGCAGGCCATGGATAGATGTTGGAGATGCCAGCTCAGCTCCTCCCACTTTCATGACAAGTGTTTTACCCATTAAACCATCTCCCCAGCCCCAAATCTGCAGCCCCTAGACAACCCTCCACTCCAGCAGCCTGAACCCCTTGTGCTCCCCAGCCAACCACACATTCCCACCCCAGTGCCATTGCACCTGCCCTTCCACTTGCCAGAGACACATTTCTTCAGCTTCTGCTCAACTATGGTCTGGCAGAGAGGTGTTCTTTACCATCCTATCCCAAGCATCACCACCTTAGTTTACTTATCTCCATACTGGAAAGCCAGGAGGTGTACACCTTGTTCTCTCTACTTACTGCATCATCTTTTGGGCCTAGGAAGTACCTGACACACCATGGGAGTTCAACAAGTATCTGCAGATGGAAGAAACTAGTGAGCATTAGGCTGGAGTTTAGGCACCTGGTTTTAGTCTAAGTTCGACAATGGAAAGTGGCTCCACTTTGAAAACCTGTCCCTTGACATTAGGTTTCTGAGTCTATAAAATGATTGACCTCTCCTGGCTCTGAGACCTGTAGGTTTTATGATCTGTTTTGGCAGGTGACCTTGGATAAAATTTTAGCAACACAGTTTCTCTTCATATGCATGAAGTAACAAGCCTCCGGTACATCTCATTATGACCCCAAATCCTCTTCCAGAGGTGTGGCTTCTCAACCCCATCCTTCTGGGAAGAAACCTAGGATTTCCTCTGCACTCTGAGGTACATCATATAGAACTTTCCCTTCCATCCTTTTGACAGTTAATAACATAATTGTGGTTTTCTGTCACTTTACCCAGAATGTGAGTTCCTTGAGGACAGTAGTAGCTTCTTGATTGCTTTGTCTGCAGCACATGCTACAGTCCCTGGCTCTCTACAAATATCCCCTGTATAAGCACAGATGAGCTCACTGGATCAGAACCACTGCTCTGCTGGAAGCCAGAACCGTCTCTTTCCCCTCACTAATGAATGGCAGATAGAGGTATGGTTTTGCTTTTGGTAATGACCTATCCAAAAGCTGCTAGGAAACAAAAATTTTCTGGGAGCTACTGAGAGTCAGATATGCCCTCACACGGTCTCAGTTTATTTAGTCCTTACATCAGCCTAATAATTAAGAACTGGCGCTGCCCTGGGGCCACCAGCATAGCCCACTGGTAGAGCACTTGCCTAGCATGAGAGACAGCAAGCAGCAGCTGGGGAAATAATCAGTTTCTTTAATGATGAGGATGACCTTTCTGGTCTGTAAAACCATTTTGTCATTAGAAGGGATATTTTTGTTGATCCTAAAGGTGGGTATTCTACATACGCATTCACTGAAAAAAAAAACTGAACTGAGAAGTTCAAATAAAGTTCCACTTGATCATTATCTCATCACTCAGAAATAATCACTATCAAGCTTGTTAAACCTTAAACTCATAGGCTTTTCCTAGCATATTTTATGTTTGACATCGGTCCTAGTTTGCTTTCTATTGCTGTGATAAACACCATGAGCAAAGTCTGCCTGGGAGGAAAAGGGTTCTTCAGCTTACTCAGCATACCCCATGGAGGGAGGTCAGGGCAAGAACTCAGGCAGGAACCTGGAGGTAGGAACTAAGCAGAAACCACAGAGGAATGCTGCTGACTGACTTGCTCTCCACCACCAGCCTGAAACTCACTACATAAGTGAAGCTAACTGGACAGTGAGCCGCAGGGATTCTGTTTCTGTCTCCCTAGCATAGAGATTACAAGCACAAGCCACCACGGTGGGCTTTTCACATAGGAACTGGGGATTGAACTCAGGTCCTTGTGTTTACAGGGCAAGCACCTTACCAGCTGAGCCATCTCCCTAGCCTTCTATGCTATTCTTGGGCTACTTCAATTTCTGCTCCTCTGGTCTTGGTTTGGCATTCTGAAATGGTGAATATTCACTTGCTACCTCCAAAGCCTTCTGATAGGAGTACCAAGAAAGACAGCATTAATTGATACATGCTTAGGATAAAAAAACAAAAAACAAACAAACAAACAAAACACCTGTACTACTATTCTCGTTTTAGGCCTGCATGAAAACGGACAAAGTGAAGAGAGTCCTATTTATTTTTATATAGTGTTATTTAATTTCATTCACCTTATTGATAGTATTTAGGACCAGAATGAATGTTAGGACAGAAGTGCTACTGAACCGTCTCTCAGTATAGGCCAGCTGGTCTTGAAATCACGGTCTTTCTGCTTCTGCCCTTCTCTTATTGAAATCACAGGGGTGGGCCATCCACACCTGGCCTTCAGGATTCTTTCCTTTAAAAAACGTCTGGGGTGTTTGCACGAAAATAAAGTTTCCATAAAGTTTTCATACAGCAAACTAGCCCAGCGCTAGAATGCCAGGAGGCCACCATACCTTTGATGGTAACTGACAGAGCCTTCTCAGCCTCCAGACCTTTCCCCAAGCTTAGGCAGGAAAAATTGATCCAGCTCAGGGGAGCCAGGGCAAGCATTCCAGCACAGTTTTCCGTTTAGGCAGAACCCCAAGTAAGTCTCCAAGAATACCTGAGCAAGTCACAAGGAGCTGGAAGGCAGGGATGGGGTAGGGTGGGGCCTACCGTGAACTTTGCTGCAGGCGGGCATGTCACTCCTGCTGCCAGCAAGAGCCTTCCACCTTCAAGTTTTTAAAGAAGGCGGTGACCTGCCCCAGACAGGGTGCTGGGCTCCGAGAAAATGAACTCCTGAGGCTGGAAAGGGAAAGGAAAAAGCTTGGGGGGCGGCCATAGGTCCGGCGAGACACCTACGGGTGGGTGGCTTTGCCAGTACCCAGCACCCGCTCACGATACCTGGCGTCGGGCTCCTCCTCCGACTCGGCCGACTCGGCCGCTGCCGTCTCCTCCTCCTCCTCGCCCTCCGACTCCTCCTCCGTCTCCATCTCCTGCGCCACCGCCCCGTCCGCACCCAAGCCTAAGGCCTCGGTTGCTTGTCTGCTGTCGCCACTCGCCATCCCGCCTGTCCCGGCCCGAGTCGGAGCTGCCCGCGCCGCGCCTGGTGTTCTCCGTCTGACTGCGCTCTGCCCGGGCGCGCGGGGCGGGGGTGGGGGCCCACGCCTTTAAATAGAAGGCGTCGAAGTTTCGCCAAGGAGCTTCTGCGGCCCGGGCTCAGCTTTCCCTGGGCCCGTCACCTGCCAACTTCCCCGCCCATTTTGGCAGATCTTCGGCAGCCTTTGGGACCAAGGCAGATAGCAGTGCTGAGGGCTGCACCTGGGCGCTAAACGACCCACCAGCCCAGCCTTCCATCCAATGACCTGACGGTTTTTACACTTCCAGCTGAGTAAGCCAACTGAGGAAGCTCTCAGGCAGGATCTTGTTTCCCTTATTCCTGAGAAGATAACATGGTGCTAGTTTGTGGATCGCTGAAGGTTCCAACGCTAGTACAGTGACAATGGGAAACTCGAGATCTCATTGGATCATGTAAAGCCAGTGCTTAACCTCTCAACCACTGCTCTAGGACTAAAGTGCAAGATCCTCCTACAGACCAAATCCTGACTAATCCACTTTTAGAAATCAGGTATTTACACTGTATCAAATGAATTCCTTCTGCCTGAAAGGCCCAGCCTGTTCACTTACTCGAGATCATCACCCTGTCTCTGAAATCATCTTTGTCCCTCCACCTAGTTCTTACAAGCAAATGAACTCTCCTGTTTAGTACAACAGGCTGGAAAGTACTCTTTTCTAGAGAAGATCCCCAAACCTTCAATTACAGCAGAGTCTACTTACGGTTGTTAAATTATTATCCAGTTACACGAGCTTATATGCTTGCTGTCCGCTGGGGAGGACAAAGAGGTGTAGATCGGCATAAATTGGCAGGCTCTTTTAACATCGATCTTTATCAACACCCTACTTCAAACTAACCCAAAACTTATAATTATTTAGACTCCACACTTTTAACACTAGCACATACAAACATGTAAAATGGAGAGATCAACACACACGAAAAAATAAAATGTAGCCTTCACACAGAACTGAAAACAACTTAAGTTAGGATCCTGCTGGGGATATAGCTCACTGAGTGGAGCACCTGCCTAGCAGGCACAGGCTGAGTTTAATCCCCAGCACTGGAAAAACAAAAACCCCACTCAAATATTAACACTTACCTGCTACTGCTGGACTATTACTACCAGGATGCAAATTCGTTAGCTTTCTGGCCTATCTGCTCTAACACATCAGTTCAAAAGTAGTAGAGTGGGCCCATAAACCTGAGAACTCAGTGGCAATGCAAGATTCCACACTGGAGTTAAGTTCTGAGGCTTCATTAAATATCACAATGCTACAGAGCACAATGCCAATCCCTACGTGACAATTTACAAACATTACCTAGGTCAACACTAAACTATCGCATTCTGAGAAAGCGCTGAACATGTGGAATAAATATTAGGAATATTTCCAAGAAGAAGAATTCATATATAAAAAGCTTAACTGCATCAAAAGTACTACAGATCAGTAACCTAAAAACACTCGCCCATATGGAAAGCTTTATTTCTAATTATGCCAGAGAAATGGCATGGTTATTAATGGGCTTAACCACAGATAAACTTCATTCCAGGACTCTGTGTATTAATAAACAATCAAGCACAATTAGATTCAGATAGCCTCAATCTCATTAGAAAAACAATGACTTGCACAGAAAGATAACACCTCAACAATTTCCAGATATAAACTTTATTTCATTTGACATCATACAAAAACTTAAGAAAAAAAAAAAACGCACCCTTTGTAAGTAAAAGAAAGAGAAGTTTTAGTTTTTTAATTGGTCTGCAAAAAATAGTTTAGTGGTACGAACTGCACCACTGTAGGCCTACAAGAAGTCTGCAATCTTTGAAAAAGTTAAAACTGTCTTCCAGATTACTTTTTATATTTAAATTTACAGGTACAAATATTTACATGAACTAAAAACAATCTTAATAAACAGGATAACTTGTATCTGAAGCTACTACTCTCATGTGGAAAAGAAATACTAAAAAAGATTTTTGTATAAACATTAAACTTTTATTTATAACTTTGTCTTAAAACACTTGTAGTGGCTTACTGCCTAAAATTTCCAGTTTAGACTATAATCCACAGAAATCTGGTTCTACAAATAGGATATAATCTCAACCTTGATGTTTCAGTTTTCTGCTGTTCCTATCATGAAGAAAATAAGACCAGGAAAACGGAGGTAAAACAACAGTGCACAGTGCACTGTGCTATCAGAAAGCATAGGAAATTTCATTTTTTTCCAAAATATCTAAGCAAGAGACTTTCAAACAGTCCATAAACAAGTCACTAACTGATTTTAGTGCTCCCATTACAACAGTGCAAAATGTATTGTTTCAACACAAAATCTTAAGCAACCTCCAGAGTCTATCAAAGCAAATGTGTGAACACAGGCACACCTCAAAGACAGTCTGTCCCAGGGAGTCAAGTGAAGACTTAAGACAATTGTCCAGTATTTCAAGACTCCACAGTGATTTCACTGAATGAAAGATTTCGTTTGCTTCAAGTAACCGAATAACTGACTTGAATCTTTACTTGACTAGAACTGAGCTAGACATCTGTTTACCACCAGTTAACTATAAGTATGTATTACTTAGATCCTTTGCAAAATTCCATAGAGTTCTTCATATAAGCATGTGGAACAATTACTTAAAATTATATCAAAACCTTAATAGTTTCGGTAATTTCTCAAAATACATTTTATGCTGAAAAGTCATGCCATAATACTACTAATCATCGATGTAAACAGTTTCAAAAATACATTTTAAATCAAAGAGTATATTATTTATTAGGAAATGTCATAATAAAATATGCAATCTTTATATAAGTATGCCCTTTAAAAATAAAACATGAAAACAAAAACATTAAAAATAAACCATGATGGAGGTAAACAATATGAATTATGACGTAACCATTGTTCTTTATTTCTTGAAAGAATTTAAGAATTGGAGACCAGTTATCTTTTCAGGGTAGCAGCTCTCAAAGGTAGAACACTGTTCAGATCTCTCTTGTTTTTCAATCTCTGCCATGACTAGGAAAGAAAAAATAAATAAATCTTAAAATACAAACTCCATATAGAACAAAAAACTGAATTCAAAGAACTTAAATTAGTTGTGTTCTATCTAAGTATGAGAAGTTTAAATTATGTCTCTTATTTTTATTTTCCAAAGTAATTATTTCCCAGAAAAGAAATAATTATTAATATCTTTAATATCTATTTAGTAATTTTTAATGGGCACACAGGTGTGCCCAAAAGCTATGTGACAATAATAACCTTATAGATTAAAGCACTCAAATTGAATTTAAGAGGAGTAATGACTTTGTTTTCAAGCTTTTACAATTGAAAACAGCATTTTTATGAAGGCAAGAGACCCCAACCACAAATGTAAATGTAAAACCTGGAAAATAGTGGAAGGGTTCCTAAAGAAAAAAGCTGAAATTCTTGTTCAAATGCTAAAACTCCAGTTCACAATTTTATGAGCACATCAGTTGTTCAAGTAACTAAACATATTGAGTTTACACCTAAATAAGCCTAAAGGAAACCTACTCACTACTAAGAGCAAGTCAGCAATAAGAAGAAAAAAAAATGTTCTACTTCACTTTTTGCTTGTTGTTAGGCCTAGTTTGAAGAGAGTTTATAGGACTCTGTTTGTATTTTAATTGCATGAAAGTCTATGTGTCCAAATAACGAAAACAGCATCTCTAAAGTGTCTCCATTTTCTGACCTTTCCCTCCTATGAAGCCTCCCCTTCTAGTTCTTACATATTTCTACCAATGCATTTTCACACTGCCATCCACTGCAAACAGGCACCTCACCCAGCAAAACTGATGAACAAATACTGTGGGCATAAACACAAAAATACATCTTTTAAACTTTCAAAACATATCAAAGATAAAATACCATTGTAGGAATAGCAAAAAAAACGGAAAAAAAAAAAAAAAGCGTGATTTACAAATCAAATCCAGACTCCCTATTAAAGATGTTTCCAAAAAGAGAACTCATAAAGGAAAAATAGAGTTAGCTCTCTCTGGAGAAAAAGTATATCTAAATTCATTCAAGTCATAAGTTCTTTTCTGTCACATTAGTAGCTTTATTTACTCTTTTCATTTTAAAGCACCCTAGTCCATTAACATCTTTAGAGTCAACATGAAACATTGTTTACCTTTAAAAATTGATCCTTGATCATATCAAACTTCTGCTTTTCATGCACAGCTCTGGCAGTATTAGTTCCATCAAAAGGTTCTGCATCATAAAATGCACAGGTAAAATAATTAGTACAATAGGATTTTATTTTTTCCCCAGTGCTGGGGATCAAACCCAGGGTCTCATATATGCTAGGTAAGTATTGCAGCACTGAGCTATGCCCTAGAACACTTTTAGATTAGGTTCAGTTATATGAAATTGCCAGTATGTCACAAATTTTGACTTATAAAAACATAAGTCAAATGGCTTAGCCCAGTATTTTTACTATATGTCTGTTTGTATGTACACAAATACACATTAATTTGATCTAGCTATGAGCTGTCTGATAAAGTGGAACTCAAGTCAAAGGAATGAATAAGTCAATTTGGGTACAACTGAATGGGTAAGATCTCTACAGAGTCATGTATAGTCAAAGACCTAACCATAGGAGAATCAAGTTACATCAAGAATGAAGTACTCCACTTAAGAGAGGCACAATGCCACATGTTACAGGAGAGTAAACTTAAAATCAATTTCAATTTAAAAGCTGATCTTGGCCAAGAGGGAAAAAGATCAGGAACCTCTGAGTAGAGCAATAGTTCTCAACCTTCTTGATATTGTGACATTTTAATAAAGTTCCTCGTGTTGTAGTGACCCCAACCACAAAATTATTTTTGTTACTACTTCATAACTGTAATTTTGCTACTGTAATGAATCATGAATATATGTGTTTTCTGATGTCTCAGGTGAACCTCAAAGGGGTCACAACCACAGGCTGAGAATCGCTGGCACAGAAGTTCACTACTAAAGAGAATGAATGTGCAATGCAGCATACTATGGTGTGAATGGATGTTTAGAGAAAAATCAAGGACAATTTCCATGAGGAATCTGCCACAGAAAGAACTGCAAGCAGAGAGGATGGGAGGAAACAAAGTTCTTGTGTGCCCAATAGATGCTATTTTCTGTGTCTACATAACTTTACCCACTATACACAGAAGAGATAAGGTGGGTGGACAGGACATAGAGATCCAGTTTTTTAAAAAACCAAAAAGGCTTATGCATGCCTAAAAGCTGAAAGGGAAGAATGAAAGCCAAAAATCAAGAGTTGCTAAGAGGAAAAACCTGGAAAACCTGAAGAAAGCAAAGAAATATGACAGAAAAGTTCACTTTATTGATATAATCTAAGCAGGCCCATAATTCTAAAAACGACTTTGTGTTCCCCCCCAAGTTTATTTTGTGTCTGTGTGTGTGCACACTCACACACCCATATGTAGATGCAGGTAAGGTATGCCATGGAATACATGTGGCAGTCAAAGGACAACTTGAGGAAGTGGGTTCTCTCCTTCAGCCACGAGGTTCCTGGGGGCAAACCTCAGGTTGGCAGGTCTCCTTTATGTACTCTGTACTACGTAGAAAGGCTATGTTTAAAAGGACTTCACTGCACACTGTGGAGCTTTTCTTGGGATTTTGGGTTTTAGTAAAACAAGGATGTATGTCAAACTATATTAGCACTTTATAAAAAGGTTTATTTTTCAAAAGAACACAAGTAACAAAATATACACTCACTGTGCAACACTAGCAAGCCAAATACCACAGATTTAAATTCATAGATACAATTCCTTTTAAAAGGTTACAAAAAAACAAAGATTAATCCCAGCATTCTGGGAAGCAGAGGCAGGCATATCTCTGTGAGTTCGAGGGCAGCCAAGGCTACACAGAGAAACCACGTCTCGAAAAACAACAAACAAACAAACAAAAAACAAACAAGCAAACCATATTCTCAGTAGGCGTGGCATGGTGGCACACGCCTTTGATCCCAGCATTCTGCAGGCAGATGCAAGCGGATCTCTAAGTTTGAAGCCAGCCTGGTCTATACAGAGAGTTCCTTGACAGCCAGAGCTACACAGAGAAACTCTGTCTGGATAAACCAACATAATAATAATAAATTCTCAACCTAATGTTTATTAAAAATGTTGACATTTTTATTCTTTTTCACCAAAGATTTACAAAAATCTCCAATCTTCATTCATTCATTTTACTCTTTTTGTCAGGGACACAAGCAGTGCTGGAGACCCAACTGAGGGCCCAGAATATTAGGCGGGACTCTGGAAATTAGTTTCTCACTGAGTCAAAGAAAATGTCTCAAGAATGTATTTTATTGTAGGGGTCAATTAAATCCAACATAATTCAAACACCAGGTCAATGCAGGTGACAAAACATGTTTTTTTTTTTTAAATTTTTATTAATTACAGTTTAATCCCTTTGTATCCCAACTGTAGCTCCCTTCCTCTTTCCCTCCCAGTCCCACCCTCCCTTCCTCTTCTCACCCCATTCCCCTTCCCCAGTCCACTGAGAGGGGAGGTCTTCCTCCCCTCCCATCTGATACTAATCTATCAGATCTCATCAGGAGTGGCTTCACTGTCTTCCTCTGTGGCCTGGTAAGGCTACACCCCACTAAGGGGGAGGTGATCAAAGAGCAGGCCAATCAGTTTATATCAGAGAAAGTCCCTGTTCTCATTACTAGGGAATCCATTTGGACACTGAGTTGCCATGGGCTTCATCTGTGCAGGGGTTCTTGGTTATCTCCATGAATGGTCCTTGGTTGGATTATCAATCTCAGATATTCTGTGTCCAGATTTTTTGGTTCTGCTGCTCTCCTTGTAGAGCTCCTGTCCCCTCCGGGTATTTCTATCTTCCCCTTCTTTCAAAAGATTCTCTGTACTCTACCCAAGGTTTGGCTATGAGTCTCAGCATCTGCTTTGATACCCTGCACAGTAGAGTCACAAGAAACCCAGAATTGCTAAAACAATCCTCTACAATAAAAGATCCTCTGGAGATGTCTCCATCCCTGATGTCAAGCTGTTCTATAGAGCAACAGTAATAAAAACTGCATGGTACTGGCATAGAAACAGAATGGTGGATCAATGGAACCGAACAGAAGACCCAGAAATAAACCTACACACTTACGGACACCTGATTTTTGACAAAGATGCCAAAACCATACAATGGGAAAAATATAGCATCTTCAACAAATGGTGCTGGTCCAACTGGATGTCTACATGTAAAAAAGTGCAAATAGATCCATACTTATCACCCTGCACAAAACTAAAGTCCAAGTGGATCAAAGACCTCAATATAAAACTAGACACACTAAATCTGTTAGAAGAAAAAGTGGGGAAGAGCCTTGAACTTATCGACACAGATGAAACTTCCTGAACAGAACACTAACAGCACAGGCTCTAAGATCACCAATCAATAAACGGGACCTCATAAAACTGAAAAGCTTCTGTAAAGCAAAAGACACTGTCATCAGAACAAAACAACTGCCTACAGACTAGGAAACAATCTTCACCAACCCTATATCTGACAGAGGGCTAAGAGCCAGTATATATAAAGAACTGAAGAAGTTAAACAGCAACAAAAATTTATTGTAATCAAGCTGCTAGTGATCAATCAGGGTGGCAGAACAGACTTGAGAGCTGACTTGGGATGTTGTGCAACATATTTAAAGGATGAAACCTTAAAGCAAGGGGATACGGGGTGGGTTGTAGCATTGTCCAATCATATTTTGACATAAGAGATTGAGCAAGGAAGGTCCCATCAATCAGGATAGGAGTAGGTTCCTTGGCCTGGGAACGTGAACTTAATTTAACCCTGCCAGCAAGATGGAGAAATAGTCCTTGAGATGGCTGTGCTCAGACAACTATCTCCTTACATATTTGAGATGGTTGGACTCATATACCTGTTTCTTTACAACAGAAGCTGTTGAGCTATTGGGAAGTCCCCAGCTCCCCTAGGGCCTGGGATCTTGAATTTAGTTTCTCCCTATGATTAAATGGAGACTGATAATAAAGTGGTAGCACTCAGAATAAGTTTCTTTTGTTCGTTTCCAAAAATTTAATTACTACATGTTAACTACATGTAAACTCATTTTAGAGAATTGTTTTTAGATTATCTTTAAAGTTAAATCAGCTTTGTGGTATGTATATATAGGTATATATACACACACACAGTTTCAATCAACTGTAGTTTAAAGAATGCATGAATGGTTCAAATCTTACCAACTAAAATGTTCAAATTCACATTTAGTATTTATCACACCTAAGGAAATTTAAATACTTTTACAAATTAAAAATGGAAAGGTAGTTATATAAAGGGACACTGATGATAAACACATTGCTTTAGCAGAAATAAAAGTTAGAATTAGTAGTACCGTGATGACAACGACATGGCAGATAGTGATCAAGAGAAACCAACCTTCGACACAGATGTATTTATTTCTCCATTCAATGTCATCAGGCCTTGGGATGGCTTTGGCTTCACGAACTGAAATCATCTGAGTGTTCCAGCTAAAGAGAGAAAACAAAAGAATTGGCTCCTTTCCTATTTTCTCTTTTATTATACCAGTAGAAAGTTGACCCTGACTGCCTGACAGACACTAAATCCTGCCTCCAACCCTCAGCGTCCATTCTCCATTTCCCTCGTTACTTATATTTAAGTAGAATTTACTTTCCAGGATACTGAGATACTTCCTTCACTGTTCAGCTAGTTCCTCAGCATATACTAGATAGTGAAACTGGTTTACTAACAAACAAACAATACAAAATGTCTTTTAAGTTCAAGTAATAAACACATAAACACTGCCTACTGCTAATACCTCAATAAGAATTTTTCATTAGTTGTGAGGTAATCTTTTGGAATTTTCTTTTACTGATAACACTGCCTAATTTTCTTTAGGTACATGCTATAGAATTTGGAGTAAGTCTTTGGAGGTAGCTACCAGGAGCAAAAAAACAAAATTAATGTCTTCTATTTTATTACATAAGGAGCAGCAGTAGTTAACATTACTAAGACAAGATTTCATGTAACCCAAGCTGACCCTGAATTTTATGACCTGAGGACCCTGAACTTCTGATCCTCCTGCCTCCAACTCACAAGTGCGGGTTTACGCAGTGCTGTAAATAGAACCTAGGGCTTCATAAATCCTAGACAAGCAGTTTACACCCGACATCCAACAGTAAAATATTTTGAGTGAAACAATTTTTTTCTACATATTTAAATATAAACCTTATCTATTCTACAGTATCTACAAATTTACATGTTTTTTAAAAAAGATTACAAACATTTAGATTTCTGAGAAAGACGATTGCTCTATGTATAGAAAACCCCCAACAGCTTACTTATGGGTCCTGTATGGAAGGTTTCTGGAAATATGTATAATTTTCGATTTTAAGTGCATAAGAAATAATTTGCTGTTTGTGAAGTTTGATCATTGGAAAGTACCTTCCAAGCATGGTTTTCTATTCTTGCTTTGATCAGGAGCTGTGCAGAACATAGGATGATGCATATGCCTATAACCCCAGCACTCAGAAGGCAGAGGCAGGCCAATTGCAAAGTCAAAGCCAGCCTGGGATACAGAGAGATACTGCCTCAAAAGATCAAGGATGAGGGATCTTTGGTAGTGTCCACCTGGCATAAGCAAGACCTTGGGTTTGAACCCAGGCCAGGGAGTGGGTATGAGGAAGGCAACTAGTGTGGAAACACATGATCAACAGAGCTTAAGTCTTTAATGTACACATCTATACAACAAAATATATACATCTATAAGTGATTATCAAGTGAAAACATTCTAACAGTGATTGCTGCTTGCTGTAAATTGTAATTGATGCCTCAAGAACTACAGTTCTACGAGTTCCAAATAGAGAAGGATGTTGCTTTATTACTACAAATGCTTCCAAGACTTTCTTTAAAAATAAATTATGACTACATATTGAACCAAACATGATTATAATATTATATTTGCACCATTTCAGTTTATACCATTCAAGATCTTTTTGTTTTGTTTTTGTTCTGTTTTGTTGAGACAAGGTCTTACAAAGCCTAACCTAGTCTCAAACTTGCTACATAGTTAGGAATATCCTTGAAATTCTGATCCTCCTTGCCTCTACCTTGTGTGTATTAGAAATACATATATTTGCCACCATACCTAAAGGCTGTAGCTCAGGCTGTCCTCAAACTTGTGATCCTTCTGCCTCATCCTTTTCAGCATATTAGCTTGCAGTACCACAACCAACAGACTTTTACTAACTCGTCTTTATAGGTTTTTTTGTTTGTTTGTGTTAAGAGACTGTAGCTATATTTCAGAGACTGACCCTTAACTCCTAGACTTAAACAACTCTAGCTTCAGACTCCACCATTCCATCACTACAGACATGTGCTACCACACCCTGCTTAAAAAAAAGATCAGTACTTTAAAAATGATCATATAAAACTACTGCAAAATGTATTATATATATTCAAACATGCCTTAGCAGACCATGTTTTTGTCTTTCAAGTAAAGAGAATGCTTTTAACTGACTACAATTCAGAAGAAATCCTTACAGAACATTTTAGCAGTTGCCAGAATTCTTTTAAATGGTACCTAATTCATTACTTTGATCATATTCTTGGCTGAGTTCCCTACAGTCAACTATATGAAATCACTTTGTATAAAATAATGTACTGTATGAGGAATTCTTAAAATTTCTTTCCTAAAACTAACATCGCAGCTAGCATCATTTGACCCAGTAAGCTACTTTCTATTAATATAATAGAAAAAAGCTTTTCCATCTACCTTCTTGTGCCAGTCCGACAAAGAACCTACACACAAAAGAAATACATTTTTCTTCTTTGAATCTTTTCCCTTAACACTCCCAAATATCTAACTTATGTAACAATAAATACTGTTAAGAAACAAGGTGGATTTGGGCTTAGTGAAATGGCTCAGCATGTAAATACACCTGCCACCAAGCCTGACAACCTGAGTTTTATCCGTGGGACCCACATGGTGGAAAAAGGGAACCAACTCCCACAAGTTGTCCTCTTACCTCCCCACTTGGGGCTGGAACTAGGGAGATGGGTCAATGAGTTAAGTGCTTGCCACCCATGTTTAAGGACCTGAGTTCAGATGCCCAGCAAGTATGTAAAAGTCAGGCCTGAGCCAGCGGCGATGACTCAGTAGATAGACAGCTGTCACCACGCCTGATAACCCAAGTTCTATCCAGAGGGCTCACATGGTGGAGTGAGAGAACTTATCCCACAGGGGGTCCTTTGACTTCTACATGTTCCATGGCACATGTGCACCCCTCACTCCCACAACACACAATAATAAAGTAAATAAATAAGACACAATTTAAAAAAGTGTTTTAAAGCCAGGTTGTAGCACCTGCCTGTAATCACAGTCCTGTGGAGGCAGAGACAGGAAGGCCCCTAGGGACTGTTGGGTAGACACTTTAGCCAAATCAGTGAGTTCAAGGCTCAGGGAGAGAATATTTATTTTCAAAGGAAAAGGTGGAGGACAAAAGAGGAAGGTATCCAGATCAATCCCTGGACTGCCTGCCTTCTCTCTCCACCTACAGACAGTGTGTTGACAGTAGACTGCCTACCTTCTCTTCTCTCTGTCTCTCTCTTTTCTCTCCTTTTCTCCACCCGTAAGCTGTGTATTTGGAGTAGACTTCAATTTGAATCCCAGTTCTCCCACTACTGTATTGTTATTGATGTTTGTGTACATCAAATTCTCAAAACTTGGCAAATTATTGCAACTATTAAACGAAACACACAGCAATCGCTTAGCATATACTGGATACTAGGAAAACACTATAAACAATACCTATTTGCAGGATCTTTAAAAGTAAATTTAGAACAACCATTATACCTTTAAAATCTGTTTATGTCTCATGTTTCATGGTTTTACATCTTTTGTCAATGATGCCTCCTTTCTCATCATAGCTGCCTGACAATTTTTACTCTGGACTATTTTACTATTTAATTTGTTTTGTTTTGTTTAAACAGGGTTTCTCTGTGTTGCCCAGGCTGTCCTGAAACTCGCTCTGAAGACCAGGCTGTCCTCGACTGTGAAGATTTGGCAGCCCCTTCCTCATGAAGGCCGAGATTAAAGGAGTGTGCCACTACCTGTGGCTAATCTGGATTATTTTAATTTTGTTCTTCCTCGGCTTTCCTCTAGCATTTCTCTGACTCCTTTCTTTAACTTCATTCAGTAACTTCTAAGTTATTTTGAGAATCTCTGATCCACATCCAGAAACTCACAATCTCACCCTCTGCATCAAAACTGTAGCAAGCATTTCACTATCTAGCACTGGGCTAGGTGCTAAGGACATGACTACAAATTAAAGAGGCACAGAAATTCAAGATTGTGAATTGTATTTCTTCTTTCATGTCCTATGTTTCAAATACAAGTCAGATTTATAATTTACCTCTATTACAGAAAAAAAAAAAAAAAAAGGCAGTTCCAATGCTGTCAAAATCATTGTAGTTTTACTTACTCAAATTCTGTAGCATAATATTTAAGAAAGCCCAGTAAGAGGTCCCCAAGACTTGATTCATTCTTTGAGAGGTAAGGAGGAACACTACATGGAGCATGGTGTACAAGGTGCAGCTGTACAGAAGTACTAAAAGATTCCTGTTCAAAGAAAAAGGGAGAATACACAAAGCAATTTAAAACATATTCTGAGAACTTTATCAGTCTTTATCTAGGATCTTTGAAGACAAAAGTTTTCTTTGTGCTGGCAATTTAGATATTTGAAGACTTTTTTTCACTAAAGATCTCAACAGTACCTGGAGTAGGACAGAAAGTACATGAAAAACTAAAATATTCTAGTACTTGGCTTGAGTGTACCACTAGGGTAGCAAAAAATTTCACCTTAAGTCACATTTCATTATTAATACCATGATTCTCCTCAATGGCATATACTCATATCTCTTTAATTACTTCTACAATGAAGGGTTGTACTTTATGTATGAAGGAGATACCAAGCACAAAGCAACAGCTTTCTCCAACTGCCACTTTACAGTTTTCTCAAAGGCAACAAAAGATTTAGTATATGAATAGTATAGTTTTTTAAAACTTTCAAAACAGTTTGATTTTGCTTTTTATTTTAAGGGGAAATATAAAGATAGATGTTTCATGTGAGCTGAACTTGAAGATGATGACGAGAAAAGACAGAATACAGACAAACAACAAACATTCTGCAAACTTTCATTATAGCTATTTACGAAGGCGTTATTAGCCGTGTGTGATCTAGGTCTAAATAACCATTTATGGGCACTTTCTGTTCTAAAGTATTTGTTTTCTTATCTGATCTTTCCTCTATTAGGAGCAAGTTCTAGATCTGAACTATACTAAATAAACAGAGTGATTTTCAAGTTATATATATTCATAAAGATTTTTTTTTTTTTTTTGTTAAATGCAGGCTCTTTAGCCCAGACTGGCCTCAAACTTAGTATGTAGCTGAGGATGACCTTGAATTTCCGTTCCTTCTGCCTCAATGACCCAAGGGGTGAAATTAAAAGGATATACCACCACTACTACTTTTTGAATGTGGTGTTGGGGGTCCAAAACAGGGCCTTGTGCATAGTAGGAAGTTACTCTTGTAAAAATTACATTACCAGTCCCCCAAAAGACATTCTAAGGTAATTTTCACAGTACCATCAAGAATTAAAAAAAAAAAAAAAAAAAAAAAAAAAAAAAAAAAAAA